TTTTGCTTGGGCATCTGCCATACTGACGGACTTTAGCTCAGCTTTCGAAGTTATCCCAGGATTTGCTTTGTCACCACAACTGTTCCCCAGGATCCACACCCTTGCTGTTCTGGAACCTAACCTATGCTGCTATGGCTGGAATCTTCCATTTTTTTTTCTTTGTTTGCTTTGGACACCCAAAGAGAAATATTTACTTGCTATTAAAGTGGATGTTCATTCTTGGGGAAAACTTCATATGCAACACAACAGAAATGAGGTTGGGAAATACCTTTATTGGACCACTAAAAGGTTACACAAACAACAAGGTCCTTTGAGGAGTCTTCATCAGGTAAAGATGGGATAAAACTTGGGAGTTAAGGAAAATAGTTCAAAAACTGGGCCACACATAATCCCTTATGTTCATAAAAGCAAAAAAGCAAAACAGAATTAAGATCTTATGGGAGCTAGAGGTGATAAAAGAACAATGTGCAGTTCCTTCCCAGTTTGAAGATAAAAAGCTCCCCTCACCCTGCAGCCTCAGTTGCCTTAGGTGAAGCACACAGACAGGCCTTCTTCATAAAAGTGTAAGCCTGTCCAAAGAATTGCGAGATTTACTTTTTGTTAGGAATGGTATTTTCCTGTGTGAATCAACACCTTGAGCATGCATCTAAAAGGCATGTTGTCAGAATGCAAATCCTGCTAGGCTATTGTAAAAAAAAATCAATTGCTATTCCTTTTCATTCAGAGGGTCCAGTCAGGATTATGTCTAGGGGAAAGAGGAGAGTCGGACAGCAAGGATTGTGATTTGGTAATCTATGCCATGGAATCTTCCATCAAACCTATCCATTTTGAAAGAAATCAACCCCGAATGCTCACTGGAAGGACAGATCCTGAAGCTGAGGCTCCAATACTTTGGCCATCTCATGGGAAGAGAAGACTCCCTGGAAAAGACCCTGATGTTGGGAAAGTGTGAAGGCAAGAGGAGAAGGGGATGACAGAGGACGAGATAGTTGGACAGTGTCATCGAAACTACCAACATGAATTTGACCCACCTCCGGAAGGCAGTGGAAGACAGGAGGGCCTGGCGTGCTCTGGTCCATGGGGCCACGGCCGGACACGATTTAACAACTAAACAACAATCTATGCCATGACACGTGATGTAGTAATGTCTAATAAAAATTGTGGAAAAAAGCATACTATAAGAACTGAATAGATTCTTGTTATTGGATGCATATCTGTCTCTTCATTGAACTGTGCCTTTCCAAATGTCAAGAAGAACTTTACAGTATTTTAAAACACATGAGGAAATGTTTTGTATTAGTGTACTATTGACATAAGCACTTGTGTGCCAACAAATCTATATTTACTTTTTCATAAACTGAATTTATATTTATATTATATTTCATATTTATCATTCCCAAACTGCGTTCAGGGGCAGAGGGAACTACAACATTTTGGGATGGGGCAGAAGTAAAAATAATGAGAAAAGTTACTCTACATGTTAGGCTTTGTGGTAACAGTACACAAAAGAAATGTCTGTAATACTGATATTGTTGTTGTCACAACACAATGTAAAGGAGGGGGGGAAGCAAATACCAAAGCAAAAGACTACATGGCCAGCTAAAAAGGGCTTGACTGCAATATTTTGTCCTTAGAATAAGGAGGTTTTGGGAGTTCCATTAATGGTAAAAATTGACGCACCAAGGGCAAAGCTGCAATGAACCATGCTCAATAGAGCAGATAATAAACTTGATGCCCCAAGGTCCTTTTCCAGCACTGATTCATTATGTTTGAAAAGATGAGTAAAAATAGAGTTTTTTCAGATCCTTTAAGAATACACCGCGATGTTACTTCCCACAACTACAGGGTTAGAAAATTTTCCAGTAACCATCATTAAGAAAATATAGAGCACACTTACCTGACAACACTACTGCAAAAAGACTATTATTGCAGGGAAAGAACTAGTCAATTTTCTTTTCTTCACTATAGAGCAGTGGTTTCCAACCTTTTTTCACTTGCGTACCACTTGGCAACCCATTTCCATAAATTGTACCCATCAGGTGTTGGTCTTTTTCAATACATAACTGAGCCTAGAAAGGGAAGCCTGAAAGAGCACAAGCAGGCGGGCAGGGTGCCTAACAGAGTGAGAAAGGAGAAGGTGGCGGTAACAGGACTGGCTTGTTCAGAGGCATTCACAGACCAGCCAGCTGTTTGCCAGACCTCTTTAAGACTTTTCCAAAGAATGGGTCACACATGTAGGAGTGGCTGCATCAAGGGGCATGACAGATGGATACTCACATTGTCTTTCACCTTGAGACTGTGTGCACTTGGAATCCTAAAAGTATCACAATAAACTCTAACTGAAGCATTTCATTTTATCATAGCAAATGTGTCCTATATTTTTGATTTTATTCCCCATGCATGCTGTGGATTAAGACCACTGAAGAACTGCATTAATGTATTTGCCTTTTTCCGCCATTAATCATTCCCCTTCACGCATACCTCTAAATGTCCTGATGTGTATTCCTGAGAGTACATGTACCCCAGGCTGGGAATCACTACTAGAGAGTGACTACACAGGTGTTTAACCTGCTGTTTGGTCTGTTGCAGGGATGGGCTGGTACATTTTCTGTGGAGAGTTTCTCAACTGGCCCTTTAAATCAAAGCAATGATTTTTAATGAAAAAAAAAGTTATGCAGCGCATTTTCATTGCCATAATAGAGTCTTTAAAAAGGGACCACTTCCTCTTCCCCTCTACTGAGGAAGTGTTTAATTTGCCAATATCCTGAAGTGGCTCTCTCATTAAACCATGACACTGGAAATTCCCACAGTAAGGAGCAGGACAAAATAGCGTGTGAGCTCCAATATGCCATTTTGATGTGAAGATTACACATTGAAATGATACATCACAGTTCTACCTGACCCCAAGTGAATCTACTTAGCCTGCAACAGTCCGCTCCAAAACAGCCTGTGTAGACAAGCCCTTAGTTACTATTATTAGACTCCATGCATTACGGCCACTAAAGGAGAGTCTCTCATCCATGTTCCCATAACATAGCACATGATTAAAATAGTGAGATTTTAAGTACAAACAAGCCCCAGAAAGCAACACAGAGACATAGCGTTTCATGGACAACCAGCTTCTTTATGTATTTATACAGGCCACTTCAGCTAACACACAATAATAAGCGGGATGGAATGATTGCTATATTTCCATTGAGAGTGCTTCAGATCACACGGATAATGAATTGATTCAGGACTTAATTCTGACATCTTTCTGAGAAATGTCCAGATCAAAGTGAGGGTCATCCAAATTAGGCTAAATCTATATACTCCTGAGAATTTGCTAGGAATTTGAATTCTGAGGGACACAGGTTGGCACATTTCTTCCAAGAATGCCATAGAAGACCTAACGATGGGGAAGAAGAGAAGAGGGAATGTGGCTTTGTGACTGGCAGCCCTAATTCTAATCATAATGAATGGTTCTGCCATCCATCTCCCATCTAACTATTTCAGGATTGTTGTAGCCTGGTTCCCCCAGGCCCCCACAGCTCTCCTCGTATTGTCATTTCAGCAAGTGCCACTTTCTCAGGTAGAATTTTGTGTATTTTAGACTAGGCTACTTAAATAGGAAAAAAAGTGTGATAATGTAATAAACATTAACTATATTTACATTCATCCAGATTTACAAATTCAGTCACCAAACTGAAATGTGCTTTAATTCTCTGGACACATAAATACTATTTTAAGTTTCTGGTAAGTTAAAGCATATTTCATTAACTTTAATGTTTTGCCTCTGCTTTACAAGAAACATTTTGTCTGGGTTTTGCAAGAATTTTCGGCTAGTCATTAATAACACCAGTTTGAAAAACATGCCATAGATATCTTTAAATCAGACACTGCAATTATATCATTCCCCCTTTTTAAGGTGAAGTCACCCTTGCATCTCATTTGGACAGTGCTAGGTTGCATCTGGCAGCTGTGCGTCTTGTGGTTTATGCAAGGCTTCAATGCATTCCTGCAACATTTTTCAGATGCTTCTCTTCCTACATTCAAATAGAGATGATGGCAGCAGTTAAAAGATGCAGAAAGTAAAACCTATTGGACATGAAACGGAACAGAGAGAGTGCTTGCTGGGAAAGGATACTTGCGTTGTTTCAAATTCAGCATCAAAACATTTGAACATATAGGTTTAAGTGCTATAAAGGTGTCTGACTTTCTGTCTGACATGCAGATTAGCTTGTCAGCACATTATCTCCACCTTGGAATATGTAATGTAATGTTTGCAGACATATTTACATAAAAGTTAATGTGGAGAAACTTGGCAAGTTGCATTCAGTGCTCCCTCCAGTGCCCAGTGCATTTAGATCCTCAGGGCGATGCCAGCACAAATGCCAGGATTGCCTTCTTTGATTATGTGGAAACGTTTATTTAGAGCTGAACTCAACTCCCTGCCACATTACAAGATCACTGGGTGAACCTGCCAGTGCAGGACCACAAATGACAGTTGCTGAAATTCCCTCCCCATCGTGATTGCTGGTGATCTGGCAGCGAAGGCAACTGCTAAGCTTCCAGGACCATTACAGTCCCCTGCTATGTAAGGCCACTTATGAATGGCTGGAGCAGCAGAGAGGCGGGAGGGCCTGAGCGGCTGCAGATATGAAGAATGAGGGCATACAAGATGTGAGCCCCAGTAAGATACAGAGCAATATAACCACTGCTGATGGCAGACCTGATGGTAACAAAAGTCTACATGGGGGGGGGGGGAAATGAACAACCTCCAGTTTAGCGACCATGCAGGTTTTTAAAGTTAGTGACTAGTTTTTATTTATTTTACAGCATTTATTAGATATTGCAATGTATGTTGTTGGTTTTAATGTGATTTGACATGTTTAGAACTGCCCAGAGAGTGTTTGCACCAATAGGGTGATGTGCAAGTTGAAATAATAAATAAATAAATCTTGCTGCTTAGAAAATAATGTGAAAATGCTAGAAATCACTCTGCTCCATGCAATTTTATGTATATTTCATCATGAATATTTTTATTTATTAGATTTGTAATCCTGAAAGAGTCCACTCAGCATGAACATCTATGACAGAGTTCTGCTGTAAACCCCACTTTTTTGTAGTTGAAACAGATCTCTATATAGAGATCAGTTGTAAATGAAGTATCAGAATGAGACAAATCTGAGTACGTAGGGATGATGGCTGTGGCATACATGTATGTAGTAAATTAATAATCTGGCAAGGAAGATTTTGCCACATTTCTGTATCTGATCAGAAATTAAACTAGAGAATAATAAGATTCTCTTCACTATTTGGTAGAATAATACAGTACATACAACCTGTTTGCCAGTTACACATATATAGTGCTAAATCCAGAGCTAGGTAAACACAACTTTGTTGGGGAAAACAAACTTTCCTTCCCCTCCTCCAGTCCCCTCCAGTACACAGAGGATCGGGCAAACGTTCTTGAATGGAGTAAATCTATGAAGCAAAAGGGAAGGAAGATATTTACAAATTTGGGAAAAACAAATTCTTGAAACCTATCCTTTGCATCTATAGAAAGTAAACTGTAGTTTGAACCTCATGTAATTTGAAAATAAAGTTTAATTTTGTATATTTTTGTGACACAGTTCCAATGAAAAAAATCTCCTGTTTGGCATTTCTTCTAGCAACAAGAGTTTCAGCAATGTGGTGCGCTGGGGTAATAAATAAACAAGATCTTAAGAGTCTGGAGTTTTGAATCACAAGACACAGTTCATAGAGTAATGAAGTCACTTTTCAGCAAGTTAACAGGGCAAATATATAATGGACAGTACAAACATAAATATGAACAATGATGGGATTTACCATCTCTTGTTGTTTTTTGTAAAACAATTACATATCAGAATTCTCTTATGTCTTCACCACTGTGGAAGAAGAAGCTTGAAAGCAGGTAAGCTGCAACTGCATGCTGCTCTTGAAGGTGTTTAATAGCTCTTCCAGCAACCTGTTAAAGAGGATTATATTTTAAGATGCTGACTGTTTTTTTTTTTTTATAAATTCTGGCCATGAAAAGCACCAGTGTGTGTCTATGGGAGGGACAGAAATTTTTTTTCACTATGCATCATAAGGGCAGTTTCCAGAGGAACAGCTGTGTTAGTCTGCTGCAACCGAACCAAACCAAACCAAACCAGATTCGTTTGGCACCTTAAAAATTAACATATCCATTACACCATAACCTTTCATGGTCTACAATCTACTCAATGAAATACAGTTCAGCTTGTTCTGGGTTACTGCTATTAGTAAAGGTGTGTAGATTTCTGCTTTCAAAATTCCCCATACCACCTGGGAATTCTGAAAGCAGTAGTCCAAATACAGATTAATCTCATTGGTTCAAACTATGAAGGAAATACTGCTCATTCAAACATCTAGTGCCATTAATACTTACTTAAAAGTGACCCACATTGTGGCCAGAATACTATTACTTATGTGTGCCTGAAAACGTCAAGCAGCATAAACCTTATCGGTGATTTCCTGCTAGTTAAGGGATCCATGCAGGTTTTGGAGTCCTCATTCTGCACCAGTTATGTGATTTGACACACAACAAGGAATACAAGTGTGGACTCCTTAACTAGCAGCAATTCACTGCTGAGAGTAACACTGTTTGACTAACACTGGCATAGAAAATTCATTGGAATCTGGCTCGAATGTTACAGAATTTATTCTCAAGTATGCATACACTTGGAGGCTAAAAGCACAATCTTAATACAGTATTTCTACATAGAAATAAGCCCCACTGATCACAACACAACTAATTCTCAGGTAAGTGGGCAAAGGAAATTCAGTGTGAGGAGACTCAGACACAGAAAACTTAGGTAAAATATCAGTCACGATAACCTCAGACACTTGTTTTGTTTACTGTATATAAATTGTAGGGCACCAAACTTCTCTAGCATTGGTTATAGTTCAGTATCTGTTTCTTTTCTTTTGAACAAATCTTTGCTCATTGGGCAAGACATTTTCATCTTGCCAATTAATGCCTCTAACCAAACCAAAGCAGAAAATGGGTTCTTAAATGCTAAGTTTAATTGTTAAGCTTTTATTTCAGGAAAAAAATGATTAAGCAGTAAAGAGTAAGAAGTTGAACCCTTAAAACTTTAGGATAGAAAAGAGAAAAAAAAACACTTAAATTTTATTAAAAATGTTGAGTTAGTCTTTAGGCAACCACCATCAATTTCCTCTTGAAAAAAAAGTAGCATTTAATAGCTGCAGTAAATTCCACAGCTGTATAATCTTTGCCAGGGCCAGAAAGTAAAATACATAAACATGTCAGTATCTACTTCCTCAATAACACCCTCCAGGAACGGGTACTAGAACAGCAACCACACACAGTCAATATTTAATAAGTCAATATTAAATATAATACGTCACTGGCAACATGAACAGGCCTAAATCATTCCATAAATTTTGAACTCATTATTTGAAATGCTGCAATGAAGTGTGTGGTGAACTTGCAGAAACAACAGCAGGATATATGGCAAATAAGCAGCAGTGAATATAACCCTTCACCACCTGAGATGGCAAGCTATGTTCTGGAGGAAACTAAACAGGGGCTGAGCATGCCAATTGCTGCTCAGGCAGCTGGAAGCAACCCAAACACCAAAGTTACATCTGGAAATGTAAGTATGCTGAACTTCCAGCATCTAAAGGGGAACTATTCTCTTTATATAACATCGGCATAAGGGGCAAATGTGGTGATACAGACATGAGTGACAGTGCTGTGAAGTAGATATGGTGTTGCATTAGGATGCTGGAAAGCCAAGGTCAATTCTCTGCTCGCCCATAGAAGTCTCTGTGTGGTTTTGGGCAGAGTCAGTAGTTTTAAACCCCGCACACAGTTCTCACAGTGATAAATAGCTCCAAGGCCATACAGAATGTATACAAGGAGAAGTGTAATTGTGGAATCACTACCACCCAGTTTGCTCTGTCTTGGTCCAAAAGCCTAAATACCACAGCTTATCCTGAAGGAATGTTTTAACTGCTATATTGTTCACAGGACACACATGCTCAGTTATGAAGGAGAGAAACTTACTTTTTATCTGCACCGCTTGACAGCTGTGGCAAGGCTTCGAGGGCTTGCTTAAAGCTTGAGCTGTAACATTAAACACATACTTATCCTACACATGATTCACAGCAATCTTTTACGCTGAATCTCTGTTTTTGGTTAAAGCGTATTTCTCAGTTATGTAGGTTGAACAAGAATACAAATGCCAACAGTTGTAACATTTACTTTTAAAAATTAATGGATCATATTATCAGTAATAAAATGTCTCAATTCATACAATTAGCTAGCATTCCGTGTGCACACACATGAGGTCAACTGCATTTCTTTTCATATTTGGATTATGAAATGTTACATTATTTCTCATTTAATTTTATACCTCTCTTCTTTCTGTGAATGCTTCCACATCTTACTCTTTAATAAAATGACAGATGTTTTAATATTAAATGCAGGGCTTTTACAGAAAAAAGCAGGGGGTGCAAGATGGGGGGTGGTGGATTTTTTTTTCATGCAATAGCAGAATGAAGAATAGCTTCAGCCAATAGTAAAAGGGCTGGTGAAATCCAAAAGAACAGACAGACATTCTTCTCACTGTTCTTGATGGTTATGCAGGAAAACAGACAAACAAAAATCACAGCATAAACTGCTTTTAACGTGAGACAATAATTTAAATCTCTTGTGGACATTTATAGAATAGCGAAAAGGTAACATGCATTCAAAATTAAGCAAAACTGAACTAGGAACACTCCTGAAACTAGAGCCTCTGGGCACATTGCAATTTATGATTTGGCTGCAAAAGAGCAGTTCTGGTATAGGAGAAAAAGGAATCTGTCTTTCAGTAACTTCATCTACCTAGTCAGGCCCCACAGTAGGAATCTGTCTTTCAGTAACTTCATCTACATAGTCAGGCCCCACAGATTGTTCAGGCTTCAGCAGTATGTGGACCGAGAACTCCCAGAAGTACAAGCTGGATTCCGAAGAGGCAGAGGAACTCGAGACCAAATTGCTAACTTGCGCTGGATTATGGAGAAAGCCAGAGAGTTCCAGAAAAATATCTACTTCTGCTTCATTGACTATGCGAAAGCCTTTGACTGTGTGGACCACAGCAAACTATGGCAAGTTCTTAAAGAAATGGGAGTGCCTGACCACTTTATCTGTCTCCTGAGAAACCTATATGTGGGACAGGAAGCAACAGTTAGAACTGGTCATGGAACAAAATGAGTGGTTCAAAACTGGGAAAGGAGTACGGCAAGGCTGTATATTGTCCCCCAGCTTATTTAACTTATATGCAGAATATATCATGCGGAAGGCTGGACTGGAAGAAACCCAAGCCGGAATTAAGATTGCAGGAAGAAATATCAACAACCTCCGATATGCAGATGATACCACTCTGATGGCAGAAAGTGAGGAGGAATTAAAGAACCTTGTAATGAGAGTGAAAGAGGAGAGTGCAAAAAACGGTCTGAAACTCATCATCAAAAAAACTAAGATCATGGCCACTGGTCCCATCACCTCCTGGGAAATAGAAGGGGAAGATATGGAGGCAGTGTCAAATTTTATCTTCCTGGGCTCCATGATTACTTCAGATGGAAACAGCAGCCCTGAAATTAAAAGGCGCCTTCTTCTTGGGAGGAAAGCGATGACAAATCTCGACAGCATCTTGAAAAGCAGAGACATCACCTTGCCAACAAAAGTCCGAATAGTCAAAGCTATGGTTTTTCCTGTCGTGATGTATGGAAGTGAGAGCTGGACCATAAAGAAAGCAGACCGCCGAAGAATTGATGCCTTTGAATTGTGGTGCTGGAGGAGGCTCTTGAGAATCCCCTGGACTGCAAGGAGAACAAACCTATCAGTTCTAAAGGAAATCAACCCTGAATGCTCACTTGAAGGACAGATCCTGAAGCTGAGGCTCCAGTACTTTGGCCATCTCATGAGAAGAAAAGAGTCCTTGGAAAAAACCTTGATGTTAGGAAGGTGTGATGGCAAGAGGAGAAGGGGACGACCAAGGATGAGATGGCTGGACAGTGTCTGCGAAGCAACCAACATGAACCTGACACAACTCCGGGAGGCAGTAGAAGACAGGAGGGCCTGGCGTGCTCTGGTCCATGGGGTCACGAAGAGTCGGACACGACTAAACGACTAAACAACAACACAGATTGTTCTAGATCATTGGCAAAGATCTAGTGCCCTAGTTGCAGATAATTTCCTGGACAACCCAGATGTACATGGAAAGTTAACACAACTTTGTGGAAGGAAATAATATGAGCAATCTCCAAATGTAACAAATATTGTGTTTCCAGCAAGACTGTCAATGTAGTTTCTTGTCAGAGAGCTTTGCACTCTCTGTCGTACTTCCCACACTGCCCTGGCTTAAGCAAGAGGGGAGCCACATACCAGCTGCTGGTGTTATCTAGATTATCCTGATGGTGGTAGTGGGCTGGTCTGAATCATTGTCTCCTAGCTGAATAAAGATGCATACAAAAATCAGGACGGCAGTGAGGTGTTTCTCCTTTGAGGCTGTTAAAGAAGACCTGCCTCATGTTATAAGAAAAGTGAAAGAAGAAACTCCAGAATGTTCAATAAGATTCAAAAGACTTTTTTTAAAAAGCCAGGATCTTCTGAAAAGAGGGCAAGTGCCCCTGGCCTCCCACAAACTCTAAAAGGGAAAAATATTTGAATGTTGGGGGGAAACTGAAGAGAAAATGTCTTATGAAACAGTTTCAGAATGATGTGTGAAGCACTTTAAAAAGGAGGGCTCAGGAGCACTGGGCTCTAATTGAGTTGTATTCAGGAGGCACAGAAACACAGATGAGAAATACGCAGCTGGAGACAGCTAGCCCTGACCCAGATTTGGCTGTACAGTCTTCTTCCTTCTAGCAGTGGTGCCCGGGGCCTCTTGTAGTTAGGTGGGATGGGATGAGGCAGCCAAGGTGGATGAAGCCAAAAGGATGAGAGGGAGAGAGGTGGTGGGGAAGAAGGAAGAGAGGCAAGCAAGTAGAAAGACAGCATGTAAGCACACAACTTTTTTCTTTCATGATGCAGGCAGGCATTCACTCAGCCATCGTCCCTTCCCACCCGGTTCACTGACTCCACAGAGGAGGAGCAAGATACACCTCCACCTTGCCTCCTAATTAGAAATGTTCCTGCTTTCCTTTCCTCTCTGCCTCTCTCCCAAACCAAGTGTGATGAGACTGGGAGTTCAGTAAAAGCGAAATCTAGGCAGGGACTTGAACCTCCTTTTCTGCTAAAGAGACAGGAGGAGTGGAGTGAGATCACCTGAATCCAAAAATGAAGTGGTGTATTACATTTGTGCTACTGTGTCAGTCTCCACTGCCCCAAGATCTCTCTTTTCTTAGAAAATCTGACTCTCCTAGGAACATGAAACAGAGAAGGTCTCCAGTAGTATGGTCTCCAGTAGTATGAAAAGCTTGTTTATTAGGGGCACCTCTGCCTTATAGGAGAGGATTGGAAGAGGGCTCAGTGAAGTGGCCATTTTTTCTCCACTGGTATAAGGATGCATGCTAGAGCCACCAAGATAGTTCAAATCACTCCGTGCTACAAAGATGAGGACCATGGAGTTGGCTAGCGAATGACATTTTTGAACCTAGCAGTGCTCCATCAGAGAAGGGTGCACATCTTTTTCTACATCTTTTTCTGTTTTTTTTTTTCTTCCCAATCAATGAAGGGAACAAGCAGAAGTGGCAAGGCTTAGTTAGCACCCAAAGCATACTCTCCCAGTGAACTGGAGGACTGATTAGGTGTCCCCTCCTTGGGAATTCCCATCCTGCTGCATTCTGGCTAGTAATATGGAGCCACATGATGACTCCTAGATGATGACATTGTTTCAAGGATGCCCTATGCTGCCCAAGATGTGGTGCACTTCCAGTTGCTCACTGTCCTATTCCAGTGTTGTGTTGTTTTGCTCTCATGCTGGACTTATAGTTAACCAACAGAGAAAGCCTTTTCATACTCACTTGCTTTCAGGTGTTAGGAATAAAGCCACAGCATCTCTCAGTGCACAAATTTCAAGCCGGGCCTGAGGAACAGAAACATAATACAAATACAACTATATTTATAGCTTCACCTTCTGACATCACAAGACTTGGATTCTGTGCAAAAAATACAGCAAAAAAGCAGTAAGACTTCTGAATATTTGTTTCCTGTGCAGGAAGTTTCAGCCATGAAACAGCTGCATTAACAACTATAGATCTGGAAAGTGCAGGAGGTAACTAACCATATCTAAAGCATTAGGAAACATTTGTAAATATGCTTGCTTGAAGTTATTTTCGGATCTCTAAAATAAATATGCATTGCATATGCACATGCACACAGTCTTTAACATGTACACCAAGGAGGCTCTGACTTCTTAACATACAATCTTACCAAAGAGGAAGGAAGTTCATGAGGGTGAAGTCTGTCAATGCGAATTTGTTCTTTTATTTTGCTACTGCTGAAGAGCAGCAATCAACACTATTTTTTAAAGTTCCATTCAGAAACATTTTTCATTGGTTATTTTTCAGGCAAGTGCTCTTAAGCGGTTTATCTAAGAGGACTGACTGAACAAGTGTGTCAGGACTTGTTTGTCCCCTTCTCCAAAAGTACCCAAACAAAATAAAATGCAAACATTTAGAATGGCTCAAAATGTTCTTTCTGGTAAATGCTGCTTTACCTTTTGAATAATATATTTCATGTGCAACATTTTACTATGAAAGGATTTTCTCAGTGAAATGGAAGCCTGCACTTCCATCACAGATACATGTTATGGACACCCCCCAAAAAAGGAATTGCAACAGGACTTAAAGAAATACAATTCACATGTCTCCAGATCAACTTTGTAAGATTCACACAGCTTAACAAATATTCAGTAACCGCTGCTACTTTGTATAACCAGAACAACAGAGATCTAAAAGACCTTGTTAACTGTTTGATTCTCCTGCTCAAGGTCTTACATGAGCAGCAGATTACTGTACATGGGAATGAAGAGCCATGCATATCGACAGCAGGTTGGGCAAAGCATGCCCTCCTGCACCCCCAGCTCCCCAACACCCTCTCCATGTTTGCTCAAAAAGTCATTTTGAACCTAGAGGGTATGGGAATAGTTATGCTCGTGCCCCTATCCACCCAGTATTTTCTACAGAATAAAATAAAATAAAAAATTTAAAAAATCTTTATTTTGTCACGAGAGGTGATGAGGCAGTTTTCCAGTTAAGAAAAAGAAGCTATGTACCTTGATTGTATTAATAATCTTCAGAAACCTTCCCTCAATTGAACAGCACTTCTAGTGATATGACTTCTTCATTCATTAAAGAACTTTTTTTTAAACTACATGTTTGGATGTTTGGGGGGGGGCTTCTGAAGCAGCAGAAAATCACAAAGCTGTGATTCTTTGCTGCTGCTAAAACTCTTTGTTGTGTATGTTCTATTGTGTCGCTCTGTGCACATAACATTGTAGCACGATCCACACTACAGCCAAGTATTTCTAATGCCAGATTAATGGTCATGGCTTTCCACAAAGAAATCACAAAATGGTTGGTAAGAGTACAGAGTGCTATTAAAGATTCCTAAACCTGCACACACAATTACAGTTCTGAGGATTTCTTGAGGTGAAGGAATGGCTTTTAAACCTGACTATAACAGAGATACATATTATGTCTTTATCAACAGCTATTTCCAGGACTCAGCTACCTGTAAAGCACCGTTTTTGCTGAAGGATGAAACACACTGCATTAGCCTGCTGAGTTCTTCAGCAACTGCCTCGACAATTCTTGACAGGACTCTGGGTACAAGCTCCTTTGAGATAGTGAATACCTAAAAATTTCAGAAGAAAAATAACATAATTTAAAAGCCTGCATTTAACTCCCCGGAAGAATTGTTCTCCTGTCCTATTCTTGCAGATGACAAATAACCCCCTCCCCCAGGGTGTAAAAAAAGTAAAAGAAGAAGGGACTTGCAGCAAAATTATGCTCCTTTTCTGACTGTTCCTCAGTTCTTCTCATTCCTCATCACTCTGATTGTCATCTCCCCCATTCTCTCTCTAAAAAATATCTCTCATACTGTTGGTGCCAGATAACTGTCAGATCACTGTCGCAAACCATCAATTTATCATCCAGCCCAATATCTCTTTTACATAATTTTTTTTTTATTTTCAAACATCTGCTTGTTTTGTAGATTGGACTTGCAAATTCACTGAGGTATTTTTGAGGGTAACTGGGGATAATATGAAATTGTCTCACCTCGGCATGTACAGCAATGATATGTACTAAGGCTTCCTTCAAATAGTTTCTAACACCTGCAATAAACATGCACACAAAAACAGAACGTCATTTTCATTCTGTTGTTCTGAATCAAAAACCCTATCGCTCGATGTTTTTATTTTATTTTAATGCCATTCTGGGCTTCTTCTTCCTTGAAAGGATCAACTGTGATCAGGGTTCCTAGGTTTAAGCACGGAACTTAGCATTCATCCCATGTGACCCAGCACCCAGAAAGTGAGATTTCTTCCAGCCACACCACCACAATCTGTTTCCTTTTTTGAAAGCAAAATGGAGAAAGGTACATTTTTTTACACTGATTGGTTAAAGAAACCAGAAGTCTTATATGACATCCTTTTTCTCTTCTTTAAAAGAACTGTTTGGTTTTCAGTGAGGTTTAAAAACAACAACAACAACAACAAAACACAACTCATCAGCATTTGGAAATAACCAGCTATTTGTAATTAATTCCTTTAAAAACAATTAAAGTATAACAATATTGCATTATGAATATAATTTAAAAGACAGAATCACTCTTTCTGTGATATAAAGGCAACCTTATAGTTGCAAACGTGTGGCCTTATTACATGGAGGAGGAATATCACATGGCTCAAAAAGTGTCTATTGCTGCTCTCTCTGCTTCTATGGATGCTGAGATTATGACTAGGTGAATTATTCTGAACCAGAAACTAGTGATTTGTAGCATTCAGGGTTTTTAAAAACTCTTTTTTCATTTGCATTAGGAAGCAACAAAGGGACGTGGTGGCGCTGCGGGCTAAACAGCAGAAGCCTGTGCTGCAGGGTCAGAAGACCAAACAGTCATAAGATCGAATCCATGCAACGGAGTGAGCTCCTGTCACTTTGTCCCAGCTCCTGGCCAACCTAGCAGTTCGAAAACATGCAAATGAGAGTAGATCAATAGGGACCACTTTGGTGGGAAGGTAACAGCATTCCGTGTCTAAGTCGCACTCGCCATGTGACCACGGAAGATTGTTTTCGGACAAACGCTGGCTCTATGGCTTGGAAACGGGGATGAGCACTGAACCCTAGAGTCAAACATGACTGGACAAAAAATTGTCAAGGGGAACCTTTACCTTTTAGGAAGCAACAAAGTGTTTTTGTTTTGGTTGTTGTGGGTTTTTCGGGCTCTTTGGCTGTGTTCTGAAGGTTGTTCTTCCTAACGTTTTGCCAGTCTCTGTGGCCAGCATCTTCAGAGGACAGGAGTGCTTACACAGAGACTGGCGAAACGTTAGGAAGAACAGCCTTCAGAACACGGCCAAAGAGTCCGAAATATCCACAATAGCCATTAGATCCCGGCTGTGAAAGCCTTCGTGAATACATTGTTTTTGTTTTATTTTTTTAAAAAAACAACCTCTGTAATATAACTAACATACAGTACTGTGATCATACTGTAGTGTAGATTTGGAAAACAGTCTGTGTATATTTTAGTGGTCCAATAAATGGTACAATCTGCCATTGTTTCTGGATATTGCAATAATGCAACCCAAAATGTATCAAAATCAGCATGATGAAATTTAAATAATGAGGCAGTTGCTGAAATCCCACTGCTTTGTTATGCATGAAGGAGGCAAACAGTGGTGTCACTTTCACTGCCTACTAGTTAGCAATTACAGTGGGGTCTTGACTTGAGAACTTAATCCGTATTGGAAGGCGGTTCTCAAGTCAAAACGTCTGTAGGTCAAATCTCCATTGACCTACAGTGCACTGAAAACCGATTAATCCCGTAACAGGCCGTTTTTGTTCCATTTTGGTTTCTTTCTGGTCTGTAAGTCAATTCTCAGGCTGCAAGTTAAACCTAAATTTTGCGGCCAGAGAAGTCTGTAACTCAAAAAGTCTGTAAGTCAAGCCGTCTGTAAATCAAGGGTCCACTGTAACAAGTCCCAATGGGATTTCCAAGCATGCCAAGTAGTGAATGCAAACCTGAGAATCTTAACAGTGACTTATTAAACTTTAGACAGAAGAGACTGCATGGTATGCCATTTGCCTTCTGCATGTGTAAAGAAGCGACAGGACTTCAGTCATAATGTGAAACTTTAACTCTTATTTCAACAGAATCAAGATTTTAGTTCTACAAAGTAGCACAAATATATACACATAAAATATTTGGAAAGCAAATCATAAAGCAAAGAAACACAACAGATTTTGCACATTACTTTGAGCCTTTTAAAGGAAAGATAATTAAATATATGTATTATCAAAAATAAAACTAAACTCACAAACATACAAGCATGTTTCAAAATTAAGAACACAGAGTGGCAGTGACTACTGATTTAATAAATTTGTCTGTCTGTCTGTCTGTCTGTCTGTCTGTCTGTCTGTCTATTTTTCTTATATTCCGCCCACTCTACCCAAGGTCTCTCGGTGGCTTGCAACAATTAAACTACAATAAAAAGATAAGACAATTAAAGTACAATTAAAATATATACTCTAAAAATTGCCACCATGACCCACAGTTGATATTATTTCAATTAAAAGTTTTCTGGAACAGGAAGGTTTTGACCTCGTGCCATAATGTCATCAGCATTGGTGCTAGACGAATTTCAGTCAGGAGGGCATTCCATAGTCTGGGGGCTGCTGCCGAAAAGGCCCTTTGTCTACAAGCCATCCCTCTTACCTCCTTGAGTGATGGCTCTTTCAAAAGGGCCCCCTGGCTAGATCTTAA